AACAACCCCTCTTCAACCCACTGACTAATACTTTTATTAACTCCACACCTCCTAATTTCCACACTCTGAATTTTCTGCATAATATTTACACCACACATTGCCCTTAGACAGGACATCTCCACTGCCTCCAACAGTCTCCTCGCTGCAGCATTTACAACCCAAGCTTCACACCCATATAAGAGTATTGGTACCTCTATACTTTCATACATTCCCTTCTTTGCCTCCATAGATAACATTTTTTTGTCTCCACATATGCTTCAATGCACGACTCACCTTTTTTCCTTCATCAATTCTATGATTAACTTCATCCTTCATAAATCCATCTGCTGACATGTCAACTCCCAAATATCTGAAAACATTCACTTCTTCCATACTCCTCTCCAATTTGATATCCAATTTGATACCCTCATCACCTTACTCTTTTCTGTGTTCACTTTCAACTTTCTACCTTTACACACACTCCCAAACTCGTCCTCTAACGTTTGCAATTTTTCTTTAGAATCTCCCATAAGCACAGTATCATCAGCAAAAAGTAACTGTGTCAATTCCCATTTTGTATTTGATTCCCCATAATTTAATCCCACCCCTCTCCTGAACACCCTAGCATTTACTTCTTTTACAACCCCATCTATAAATATATTAAACAACCATGGTGACATTACGCATCCCTGTCTAAGACCTACTTTTACCGGGAAGTAGTCTCCATCTCTTCTACACACCCTAACCTGAGCCTCACTATCCTCATAAAAACTCTTTACAGCATTTAGTAACTTACTACCTATTCCATATACTTGCAACATCTGCTATTGCTTCCCTATCCTCTCTATCATATGCCTTTTCTAAATCCATAAATGCAATGAAAACTTCCCTACCTTTATCTAAATACTGTTCACATATATGCTTCAATGTCAACACTTGATCTACACATCCCCCAGTGGTATTCATTGCACGGCTCGCGATGACTCGATTCACGGCTCTCGAAAAATATATAAATTAATTAATAAAAAAAATATATATATAGAAAAATAATTTTTAAAGTAAGATGTACATATTTTCATGAGGTGAAATGGAAGACGATGTCACAGTAAGAGATAACATTCTAACATCCCTACCCTAGTTGTACAGAAATCATACGTGTCCACTACGGGAAACTGATCAGGGACACGTCTAGCTCTAGGCGTCGGTGGTCTCGCTGAATCAGTTGAGTTCAAGCTTTCGGGGGAGACTGGACGTATTTCGTTACTCTTGGAGATTTGTGTTTGAAAATAGGCAACAGATATTTGAGACTGCGGCAACATATATGAAAGTAACGACTTAACTGTTGCTGCTTGTGGAAGCTAGCTGCGATGGGCTAGTTTTACTTGAAACCAAAGTGCAGTCAAGTAGTGTCCGTTATGATGGATCGATTTGTGGCTAAACAAAAATGCAATAGTGATGAACAGCCATCCCAGACCCGACCAGTAGAAAAGGAGCATTAAGTAAGTTTGGTCTTTATTTTGCTATTAATAACAAGGTATGCAGGCTAGTATTACCATGTCTAATTTTTCTCGTTTACTATATTGCAGTGACTAGCAGCTCAGTACTACTTAACCCTTTCAGGGTCCAAGGCCCAAATCTGGAGTCACGCACCAGTGTCCAAGAATTTTCAAAAAAAAAATTTTTTATTTTTTCTTATGAAATCGTAGAGAATCTTTTTGTGAAGGTAATAAAACAAAAAGTACGAAATTTGGTGGAAAATTGACGAAATTATGCTCTCGCGAATTTTGATGTGTCAACGATATTTACGAATCGGCGATTTTGCAGACTTTGACTCCCATTTTAGGCCAATTACATTATTCCAATCAACCAAATTCTTAGCTATTTCACTAGTATTACTTCTATTCTATCGATTGAGCACAAGAAATCGCCAAGTCAACTGTTTCAACTACAAAATAAAGTGATCGGAAATTGTTAATTTGGCCAATTTAACACAAAGTTCAAAATATTCCAATTTCAAAATAGGGTCCAGAATGAACAATGTAGGTATTCCTGGCACTAAACTAACATTTCCTCTGTTCATTAGTTATGTTTTGAGGCTTTACAAATAAATTCCATTTTGATTTTTTATTCACATAATGAATTTTTATTCACACCAAAAAATAGAAGATTTACTGTTATGCAATACTGTAATAATTGTATAAATATCATCACCATATTTGTGAATGTATATTAGACCCACCAGCTGGTGTGTATTAGACGTGTGAGGTCGTTTGTTTACTCTTGAATATCGGCAAAAATTTAACATTTCTGCTACTTTGAGCTCAGTTTCAAGCCATTTCCAGTGCTAAAACCAATCAAAATCATCTCTATTTCTGTAATATGTCTTCCATTCTATCAAATGAGACCAAGAAATCGCAAATACAACTATAAAAAACATACGAAAAAACACTGCAAAGTTGCTGTTTTAATCGAAAAATCATGATTTCATTTTTTTTCTCTCATTATACACAGTGTGTTGCAGGATCTGTTTTATGTGGTGCACACATACCACATAGATGTATTCTCTCATATCTAGGCCCAAATGTACCACTCACAGTTTATCAGAGTGAGCTGAGCTCATGGCGTAGATCTACGGTTTGGACCCTGAACGTAAAGCCGTAGATCTACGGGACGGACCCTGAAAGGATTAATTTAGTTGAGTTACGCTAACTTGCAGTAGCTGCGGCTCTCTCAATCAATGTGTTTAACCGAAGTGGCTCTCTTGCAAAAATTGGTGAATAACACTGCCCTACTCACTCTAAAACCTCCTTGCTCTTCCACCATCCTACATTCTGTCTTACCTCCAATTCTTTCAGTAATAACCCTACCGTACACTTTTCCTGGTATACTCAGTAAACTAATTCCTCTATAATTTTTACAATCTCTTTTGTCCCCCTTCCCTTTATATAAAGGAACTATGCATGCTCTCTGCCAATCCCTAGGTACCTTCCCCTCTTTCATACATTTATTTAACAAAAATACCAACCACTCCAACACTATATCCCCCCCTGCTTTTAACATTTTTGTCATGATCCCGTCAGTTCCAGCTGCTTTACCCCCTTTCATTCTATGTAATGCCTCATGCACCTTCCTCACACTCACATCCTGCTCTTCTTCACTCCTAAAAGATGTTATGGGCACATAAAAATGTGATGGGCACATAAAAAATACATTACATAGATTTAACTAATGATAACCTACACCGAAATGCCAGCATAAGCTTCTCTTTCCTATGTGCAGGTTGTGTGTGTAACCTACATGTTTAGTCAAATAATTTGATTATACATATAGTTTAATAGGTTATGTAAAGCAAGTGTTCTTACTGTACCTTAAATTCTGGTTACTGATGCATATTAATCTTGATATCAATGGGGCAGAGGTAGTTGGCTGTGGATATTGGGCTGAGATGGATCCATTGGTTGTATCAAAGATGTGTTTGATGGTAAAAACACTCCCTTCACATTTGAATCCATATCATGCAAGATTTTAGGATGACTACTGGACTTAATCAAGAGCAATGAGAACCTTGAATGGAAGTTTTTCTGTCCAGGTACATTGTACCTGAGAGAATAAGTTAATATTTGAGCCTCTCAATAAACAAGGCCTTATTCATCCATGCTATCTGATTAGACTGCCAAATAAGATAAAGCGCTTTTGTCTTTAGCTTTTAAACCATTGGGAGTCCAGAAGCAATAAGTAAGCATAGACTTGCACTTAAAGATCACCTGATGCATTAGCACACAAACACAGAACTAAAATGATTGTTTGCTGCCCTTAATCTAGGTGAAATTTTTTCTTCCCTGCTGATATAAATTCTAGATAGCAGTTTCTTCCAAAAATGCCTATCTTATTAACATTAAAAATTGCTGAGGCATGTTAACACCCTCAAAAATAATTCCCTCTAAGTATGAAAGGGACATCCTTGATGGCAGCATGGTGAGCAGATACAACTTCCTTGCTGAATTTTGTGGATTTTAGATTTTTGGAACTGGCCAGAACAAGATGAACCCTTTTGCAATCTTTCTGCAAAAGCCCTTTTGTTCTGTAGTACAATAGGTTTTTTTTCCTGATCTTAGACCCTTTAGATGGTGCTATAGGTGCGTAAGTGATGTACATAACTCTCTCTGCATTAAGCGGTTTCTCACCTGCAACATGGTATTTTAAACAAAATTTAAATAGCAAGTTACTGAAAATGCAATTAGCAGTTGTGCAGGTTATGAAAGCTTACTGTACACTTTAGTAGAGATAGTTAAGATTTTTTTTTTTAGCACATTGGCCATCTCCCAATGAGGCAAGGTAACCAAAAAAAGAAAGAAGCACTTTCATCATTATTCAGCACTTTCACCATCATTCACACAATATCATTGTCTTTATAGAGGTGCCCAAATATGACAGTTTAGATGCCACTATCCCATTAAAAACAGTATTAACCTAGATACAGTACTGTATGTAACGCTGCTCGTTTTGTTTAGCGACCAAAGTTAGTTACCTTATTTAAGTGTATGGAATTCAATGAAACTTTGGAAGGTTTGGCAAATAAAGAGGAGAATGTTATGTTTGCATAGGTGTCATTTTGACTGCCAACACATTCTCATCAGAATATATCCGACTCATACTGATGTTATTCTTGGCCCCAGTGATGTGTGGAAATTGTGTACTGTATGTTTTGCTGCTATATAAAACTGTAGTCCATGCCATTGTGCGTATAGGTGTGTGTATATACATCATGTACATTGAGTAATTTACTGTACATTAGGGAATAACATTGACAGGAATGTACTGTATCACTGAGGGGGAGGTCTCATATATAAAATGAATGAATTCTAATGCTTCAAGTTTTAATATTATTATCAAACTAAGTACAGTACTTAAGTTTTTTTTTTCTAATTACATTCTTTTTAACAGGAACAAGAGCAGGTGTATCAGGCTCAGGTTCAAGGAATCCAGCAGAAAGGAAATGATATTTTGCCCATCGGAAAAAGTGCTGCTGAGCAGTATAGTGAAGACGAAGAAGACGACAATGATGATGAATATGATGATGATGACAATGATGATGATGAGGAGGAAGATGATGATTCTGAAATGAATGATGATTACTCAGACCCAATGTTGCATTAGCCAATAATTATGAAACATTTCCTTAGTTTTATTATTTTCATGTTTTGATGCTTAGTTTTCAAAATATTTTAGAACATGCATAAATATGGGAATGAGTTTGGTGAGAAAGTTGCAGAGGCATGCATTGAAAAATTTCAAAGTCTTGGAAAGACAGGTAAGCCAAAAGAAGGCACAGAGTGGACCCTGCTTGCTTGCTTCTTACAAGAGGAACCTCATAAAGAGATATTTGAAGTTGTGGCTTTAGGAACTGGGTCAAAATGCATTGGTGTACAGCAGTTGCCAATTGAAGGGGATGTTCTCCATGACAGCCATGCAGAGATTATTGCTAGGAGGGCTTTCATGGTGTATCTCCTTGACCAAGTGGAAAAGGTTTTAAAAAATCAAATTAGTATTTTTGAGCAGAAAGATGATAAGCTTAGGTTAAAGTGTGGCATCAAATTTCATTTCTATGCCAGTCACACTCCTTGTGGTGATGCATCTATAATCCCTAAGCAGGAGTGGGGTGAATGTTGTGGACAAAAAGAAGAGGTTACACAAGAAGAAACATTTGTCAGTATTTATAAACATGTCACGGAAGTGGATATCCCAACTCACTCTAATGATGACTGTACCGATATTGACAACAGTGAACCACCATTAAAGAAACTGAAGGTAACTGAAGAGAGTCAAGTTAAACATGAAACCAGCAATATTGATTTTATCATTAATAGTGTAGACAACATAAAACAAATGCCTAGGATATTTTCTCTTACAGAGAATAACAAAGAAAAGGATTTCCATACAGGAGCATACGCTGAAAATAACATTGATAAGATGGATGCAAGACCTGATATTTACCGAACAGGAGCGAAATGTTTAACAGGTGAAAAATTGGATCCAAAATTGCCTGGTTCTGATTATCATGTTACTGGTGTGTTGCGAACTAAGCCTGGACGTGGTGACCCAACCCTCTCTCTCTCTTGTAGTGATAAAATCTTTAAATGGACTGTTTTAGGGGTCCAAGGTGCTCTTTTAATGTTGTTCCTAGAAACCCCAGTGTATGTGGAAACTATAACAATTGGAAGGTGTCATTACAATCAGGAAGCAATGGAAAGAGCCCTCTTCGGAAGATTTAAGGAGAGATTGGAAAATATTAAACTTCCAGTTGGATTTCGAATACTCACACCTCGGATATTATATGCAGACATTGATTTCCCTTTTTCTCATAGCTGTATAACCAGCTGTGCAGGTGATGCTAAGAAGGTGATGCCATCACCTACCAGTCTCATCTGGAGTGTCAGTAGTACACACAGTAGCAAGCACGAGGTTGCTACTAATGGACGCAAACTGGGCACCACTAAAAAGAACCTAGGTACCCCAAAAAGTTGGGTCAGCATATGTCGTCGAGCCATCTATCTAAGGGTGAAAGCACTCTTGCAACAGCATAGCAAATTTATGACCAGCCTTGTTAACCTAGATGATTTGTCATATGGAGATTTGAAGTGTGAAGCTCGAAATTATTACATAGTTTGGAATGATTTAAAAAGAAACGTTTTAAGAAATTGGACAGTTAAGCCAGGTAACATAAAAAACTTCAGAGCATGAATATGATACAGTATGTCAATATTGTGAAGGTTATTTTGATCTCATTGGTCATCTCTCAGATGCAGGCTGACCCAAAGAAGACAACACATTCACTCAGTTGCTGTCTCTCCAGAAATATGCTGACATCACAATCAGATTTATAAAAAATCATTTGTTTTCACCTGCAATAAAAAAAATTATTACAATTTGCTGGTATTTTAAATGCAAAGTCTATGAATGTTTATATTTGAATTGCATAAAGCAAGTCTTGGGCGTTAAAATAGTCCTTGTAATCATTTCATTAATTTTTGTAACTATTAAGACCCATTAGATATTTTGGGCCAAACAGTGAAGACATTTAGGTTTCATTCAGTATAAAATGTTTTAACTCCAGTTCTCTAACAAATATGTGCTCTAGTTTGCTCTTACAGTAATGCCAAAAAGGGTCCTTGAATAAAATGCATCTGTATTGAAGCAAATGCTTTTATGTCCTTAATTTTATTAGGCATATTTCAGTACATAAACCTTCAGTGTTCAGATGGGTAGGTAATGGTATGAGATACCAACACAATGATGAGGAGACAAATGCAATTTCACAGAACTCCAACAGATGACGTTTTGTGTACTGTGTGGCGAAACAATAGGTAATAGTTGCATATAACTGTATTTACCTCTGTTTACTTTAGAGTATATGTATATTGTAGCTATATTGCTCTAGAAAGTTTCAATACTTCTTCCTCCTAATATCATTCACAATTATGCCATGCACATTACCTGGTTTATTTTTAAGACTTATTCCTCTTAAAATTAATAGGAAGTGTGTAGTGATACATTAAACAGTCTGTTTTCAGATTTAAGCATTGGTCCTAGCTGCTTAAGATTTGGTGTGATTGTCAGAGCTATTCCACTGTATTTTTGCATGGTAAGAGTTTAATAAATATGTTAATTCAGGTTAAAATCTTTTGATCTTTATAAGGTGAATATCAAATATTTCTCATAAATAACACTGAAGCTTTAAACTTTTAGCTGTGTCAGACATACTAGTACACAAATTTTAGCACCTTCAGATACAACACCTGCCATTATTTTTGACTTCAGCTCAACTGCATGGGTCTCTTACAACCTCCTCATACTTTTGAAAAGAAATCTAAGACCATGTGGTATCCAGGCAATGCATCATGGGGTAACACTGCCTGACTAGCATAAGTAACAACGAAACCAGCCTAGGATCTGTTCCACTACCAGCTTCCTTACCAGCAAACAGGGTGTGAAACTGCCACTTGACAATGCTAACAGTGGAATTCAGCCAATAAGCACACTGTAGACTTAACCTAGGGTAACCCAGTATGGTCCAATAATGTGACTTGTTTGTATGTTTCCAAGAAAATAATTTAATATAAAATTTCCCCATACATACATGTTTTACAGTGGTCTGGAAGGCACACTGGTAACAGATATAGAAGTTACATTTTTTATATAATTTCCCATAATATTTTCTTGAAACCTAAATACAGTGATACCTTGGGATATGAACAGCTCAAAACTCGAACTATGAATTATGTAAGTGTATTTTTGGGAGTGTCAGATGGATTATTCTAATTTATATTATTCCTTATGGGAACAAATTTGTTCAGTATTGGCACTCTAACAGCCTTCTGGAATGAATTAAGTTCATATCCTGAGGTAGCACTGTATGTACCATGATTAACCTAGGATAACCAAACAGTCAAACACTTTGACTTATTTCTATATGTTAAGGGGTATTATTATGCCTTGAAACAGTTGTATCATAAAGTATTCCTTGTACATAATGCTAGAAGGCCAAAGCAGTTTACAAAATAGAAGAAAAAATTATTTGCTCCAATTTTTATTGTGGAGTAATATTGGGTTATGCATTTTCCCACATTTGAAGTACTAAAAATAAGTACTGGACATGGTGTTAAACATTAAAAACAATAAAGAACTAAACAATAATCATAATTTGGCATCAAATAGTAAAATGTAATTACTGCTGGCACGCTTACACCACTGTTGCCAACAAAGTGATAGTGACAATTTTTTTATCTTTGGTGCACCATAAAAATCTTAATTTTTTATAGCATTCTATTCATTTTGGTCTTGCTTGATTCATAAAAATGCACTCTTTCAACCTGTAAGATAATTTTTCCTAAAAAATCTTGCCTTGCGTGCACACAGAAATTTTAACTTCTGGTTATTTCGCAGTTAAGAGGGGAATGTGTGTTCAATACATGTGTGTATCTAGGATGATTTTTTTGTTTGACTTAATATTTATTAGTATGGTACCTTGAATGTAAAGTACCTGCGGGATAGACCTATTCTGGGTATGGTATTCCCAAGTAATTGTATTGGTTAAATAACAAAAAAGGCACAATACCGTGACTGGAACGATACACAAATAACCCGCACATAAAAGAGAGAAGCTTACGACGACGTTTCGGTCCGACTTGGACCATTGACAAAGTGACTTTGTCAACGGTCCAAGTCGGACCGAAACGTCGTCGTAAGCTTCTCTCTTTTATGTGTGGGTTATTTGTGAATTGTATTGGTTGTTTTTTCTAACAAATTAGAAATTTTGGAAATTAAGATGTCATTGATTTATATGAAATCTTCACGCTGTTTTTTCTTCCTTTCCAGATAACCCTACATATCATAAAATTATGTACATGTCAAGATTGTTCAAGAAAACATTGAGTAAATTGAGAGGTCTCCCTTGAAATGGCCTTGAGGGAAATTAAAGGTCAGTCTGATAGGTGGCTTAAAAATACAAGAAAGGATATAGAGAAATGGTGGCCCCCCAAAAAAAGTTATAGATGAGTAGAACACTGTCTGCTGCTAGTTTGTCATAGAAGCTAAGAACTCCTGGTAGGAGGTCTGGTCACAGACCGGGCCGCGGGGGCGTTGACCCCCGGAACTCTCTCCAGGTAAACTCCAGGTATATCCAAGTGAGAATGGTTAAGTGTAAGCAACACCTGTCTAGAATGATCCAGTAAGCCTACTGTAGTGCTCCTATTTTCTTAGGTTCTTATATGAAAGCACTGATTTGGGAATACAGCCTTTCCTCACTTAAAACAGTATCAAAGATGGTTGACACAAACCCACTACCATCATAGTATGCTCCTCACTTACAAACAAATTCGTTTACCAACGTGGTCTTAGGAACGGAACTCTGTTGTTAATGTCATCTTTGCACCATTTTAACATTTCTGGTATATTTTTAAATGTTTATACAGTAGTGTACTGTATATTGTAATAAACAGAGTAGAGGAAATCAGCTCTAATATACATTATTTAGGTATACATAATAGTCAGATAGCCCGTCGTAAGTCCGAGTCGTCGGTAAATGAGTACATCGCTAAGTGAGAAGAGGCTGTACAGTAAACCATCTTGTAAATGACATATAATGCAATTTTGTGTGAACTGGGATTGAAAAAATTACATTCACAGTTTTATAGTACACAAGAAATCCTTGATAATACACTTGCTGAGTCTGACATCATTTCATCCAATGTATGTGGTGTAAAATTAATTATTTTCTCTTCCACTAAACATGACATTACCAGCCTGTCATGTAGAGATCATGCCAATAAAAAGTTATACATATGTGTATTGAAGAGCTAGATACAGATATCTGCAGTCTCAATATTGCTGTGAGCCAGAGGATGTTTGGTGTAGGTGTGTCAAGTTCCTGCATGTTTGGTACAATTTGGCAACGAAATGTGACTTTTATATTTACAAAGTTGACATCTTCAGGAGCCCATCTGCGTCTCCCTTATTTTTGTAATAATATATTCTTTGGCTATTTCAAATGCATTTATCTGTGGTATAAGTTTAGAGTAGGTGTAGATAGTTTCCACATGTTTAGTACAATTTGATAAGGAAATATGGCTATTTTTATATAGCTATGTACATGTTATGTGTACGAGTGTGAGCTGATAAACCTCACCATTGTACATCCAACTCGCCCCACTAGACCCTCCCCACACACTAAATCTTTGAAGTACAACAAATAGAATATGAGGTAATAAGAGCTGTAATAGTCTTGACCTAGTAGAATATTAAACTTCCTAATTTGAAGGTACATGTATATGGAATGTAGCCCTGCTATTCCTACTTGTAGCCCTATTATTCCTACTTTTTCTTCATTTCACATAATGCCATTTGTCATATGGCACTGATTTTCAGGAAGGTATTTTATGCATAATGAGTTACGCATGACTGGAATGAACTGCTTAGAAGTGCCATTCATACAAATAGCTGGATAGTTTTAATGATGCATTGTACAGATGCACAAATAAGAATGGTTTGGTATGAGGAGGTCCTTACTATACACAAATAACCTGCACATAAAAGAGAGAAGCTTACGACGACGTTTCGGTCCGACTTGGACCATTGACAAAGTCACACTAACCGGAAGTGGAGCAGGACGGCTATATATAGGCAGGAAGAGGTGGTGGTAGTAGTAGTAGTACAAGAATGGTATATAATACCGACAAGATGAAATTAAGACACATGCGCAACACCCGGGCATCCCTATCGTAGACGTTTCGCCATCCAGCCAGCCACTGGATGGCGAAACGTCCACAACAAAGAAACCAGACGCTGCACATGTGTCTTAATTTCATCAGTAGTTGTAGTAGTAGTAGTAGTAGAAGAGGTAGTAGTGGTAGTGGTAGAAGTGGGAAATAAGGAGGACGAGCCAGTCAAATACAAAGGAAGGGGAGCACTGCAAGAGAGCTAGGTGCCCACTGAGGGAGAGCAAGCCCACAGAGGTGCGTGAAAGGGGAAGTGGTGAAATAAATGAAGAAGGAACAGAAACACGAGACAAAAGAGAGAGAGACAACCCAGAGGAGAAAAGGAAAGAGGAAAGGGGAAGAGGGAGAAGAAAAAGAAAAAGAAAAAATGAGGAGTCAGGTTAAGTCACGGGTGTTCTGAAGTTTGGAGCATTTTACAATGTAGTGGGAGAGGAAGGCATCTACAGAGACGAAGTCAGGGCTAAGGTTCATACAAGGAAAGTTGTGTATTAGAGAGGATTCAACTAGACGGCGACTGTTCGAGTTGGAAGTAGGGAAGACAGTTTTAGCAGAAGACCAGTCAATAGGATGGCTATGATCTCTGATGTGACAGAAAAAAGCATTGCTAGTGTCAGAAAACCTAACACTATTTTTGTGCTCCCTAAGTCTGTCAGAAAGAGATCGACCAGTTTCTCCGAAGTATTGAAGAGGACAGGAGGAGCAAGAAATAGAGTAGACACCAGGAACATCTGCAGAGGGAGGAGAGGTATAGATGAAGAAACCCTATTGACTGGTCTTCTACTAAAACTGTCTTCCCTACTTCCAACTCGAACAGTCGCCGTCTAGTTGAATCCTCTCTAATACCATTCTTGTACTACTACTACCACCACCACCACCACCACCACCTCTTCCTGCCTATATATAGCCGTCCTGCTCCACTTCCAGTTAGTGTGACTTTGTCAATGGTCCAAGTCGGACCGAAACGTCGTCGTAAACTTCTCTCTTTTATGTGCGGGTTATTTGTGTATAGTTCCAGTCACGGTATTGTGCCTTTTTTGTTATTTAGGTCCATACTAGCATGGGCCAGATCTACTGCAGTACTGTTTTTTGGTATTTTATATATACTTTAGGTTATTAAAAATAGGTTAGATAAATATATGAATAGGAATGGTACAGTAGGATGGAAAGGACAACCCTTTACACTTGCAAGTGTGTGTGTTCAGGGAAGGGAGAAGTGGGAGATTGTAGGCCAGGGTAATATAAAGTTATAAAAAGTACCATCATGTTTATACACAGGCTAAGAAAAAAGGTGCCACAAGAGGTGAGATCAGAATACAAAGCTGCTGGCAAGCAACAGTGTTGTTGGAGATAGGGTAGATGGGCCTATGTCTATCATTCCTTAGTAGTCAAATTTTCTCATATGATCATGTGATATTGCTGAAATTTAGAAGACTAATATTCCTTAACAATTAAAAGTAGGCAGGATAATGATTTGTGACATTGTATATGAGGCATTCAGTTGGTGACCTTGTTAGTTTGTGAGGAAACTTGCTACCTGCCTTAGTATGCTATTATTATATTCTTATATTATTATATATATTATTATATTCTTATATTATCATATATATTATATTCTGTAGAGATTATACAATGCTTGGGGAATGAGAGGCATTCAGGTCTGATCCAAGGGGAATGCACTTCCAATTCTTTGGATCAAAAGCCCTTTACCTTGGAAGTCTTATCTTTATAACTCTCAAGTAATTTGTGGTATAAATTACATCTAGTTACAGATACTTTTGTACTTGATTATTATTTGTTACAAATCCCTGTGAGGATAGCTACTTGGCCTCTTGACTATCCCTTCGTCATTTAATTATTTTCCCCCAGATCCTTTGTGTCACCTAATGCTTTAACATGTGAAGTAAATTTACACCATCAAAGAAAGATATTGTGGTAAATGCACCACTGGTGTTGGTTGAATGAAGTAATAGGTGATGTTGCACTGGGTTTACACTTTTTTTTTTTTATAAGTACGAGTAAGCATATTGTTGATAAAAGCATTGTACACGAGGTAGTTTGGTGAATATCTGTATATTTTTCATCCATGATGAGTCATACACTGCTTGTGTGAAAAGCAGATTTAAATAAATATTTAGCCTTGACTACCTCTTCAAGGGGGGCTCCTTGGCGTGGTGAAGAGGCTCTTGGTCTGAGGAATTAGCCCTGTTGGTCTTCTTCCTCAGACCGAACCTAATTACCCCCCATTCTCCCCTCCCCTATCCCATCCTCCCCTTTTTCCATTCCTCCTCACCCCTCCCTTTTGCCCTTCCTCTTTTTGGCCTTTGGGATTTCTCCCACAGGCGCGCTAGTTCCTAGGTAGGGGAAAGGACATCGGGGTCCATCCCATTCCGTTGAGGTTCTTGGCGGTGGCGTAGTTTGCCGGGGAAAATCTGGATTGCCCGGGGATGTCCCGATCCCTCTCCGGGATCCGGAGTAGCTTTGGGTGTCTTTCGGCGACGGGTGTATCTCTGGAGCCCTTCGGATTCCGGGGGTGGTGGCTGAAGGAGGTATGCTTTGTGGCGGATATCTGGCGCCCTCTCTTTTGTCCACCCAGGTAGCTCGGCAGATGTGAGGTTGCTATCCCGGATTGCTGGTTTACTGGCATGAAGGGTAGGGTTGGCACGGGTTCCATGCTGCATCTGCGCCCACTAGCGGGGTTGAGGTCCTCTTGGGCGGGAGGGTAATTTCCGGCCCTTTCATTCCTCCTGGGAACTATTCCTCCCGCTCCCCCCCTTTTTTATTTTTTGTTTTTTATTTTTATTTTATTTTCTTCTTTCTTTTTTTTTCTTAAAACAAAAAGCAAAGGAGTAACCTAACCATGGCAGCCCTAGTCCATGAACCCACTACCCCCGGGCCCCTTCTTGATACCGCACCCCATTCTGACCCTGCCTTGTGTTTAACCACTCTTCGGACACTCCTGATGCCCCTGTACCTCTTGCTGGTGCTGTTTCCTCACCCACTTCAGGGACCCGGGGCTTCGACTGACTCCTTCGATTTGTCTGAACTCCGCTCTCCTTTGACTATGCTTCCGGCTTCTCCCTCTACGGTACGGCAATTTTCGAATCGCCCGCCCATTTCACGCCGGACCAACTCCGGTCCTACTCCTAAACGCCAACGTCAATCTCCTGATGATGCTCCTTCGTTACCTTCCCATTCTACTCGGAAAAGACCGACACGTCAAGCACTCCCTCTCCACTCTCAGTTTCGGACCACACAATGGACTAAATTCTTTACTTTAAGACCGACTTCTTCTTCTGCCTACCTTTCTGACCATAGTATTGGCAAAGCGCTCCTGCGTCATGTTGGTAGAGATACAGTGGACCCCCGGTTAACGAACTTTTTTCATTCCAGTAGTATGTTCAGGTGCCAGTACTGACCGAATTTTTTCCCATAAGGAATATTGTGAAGTAGATTAGTCCATTTCAGACCCCCAAACATACACGTACAAACGCACTTACATAAATACACTTACATAATTGGTCGCATTTGGAGGTGATCGTTAAGCGGGGGTCCACTGTATTTCATTTCATGCTCTCAAGAGCGGTATGCGCATCGTCACTGTCCAGAATGCTGCCCAAGCTCATGATCTTTCTCTCCTTTCGAATATCGATTCTACTCCTGTCACTATTGAAAAACATCTTTCTCTCAATTCTTGTAGTGGTACTGTCATTCTGCCCCATACCATAGTCCAACAGAATTTCCAGTCATGTGGCAATGACATTTTTGAACAGCTGGAATTCCAGGATCTCCCAATCCTCAAAGTAGACACTTATGTCCTTCCTGCTCGGGGGCGGAGACGTTACTCTTGCAATGTGGCTCGTTTAAATTTTGACAGCCGAGAACTCCCGTCCTCTGTATATGTCGTGGGACATCGGTTACAAGTTCAAAAGGTGATACCTACACCGCAACAATGTAGAAATTGCTGGCGTTTTGGTCACCCAGTGAAATATTGCAGATCTATGGCCGAATGCCCAGTCTGTGGTGCTGACGACCATTCTAATACATCTTGCGGTCAACCTCCATCTTGCCTTAATTGTAATGAAGCTCACCCTTCGTACTCCCGCCGTTGCCAGGTCTACTTAAATGAACGTGAAATCCGTTGCCTCAAAGAGGCAGAAGGTCTCCCTTATGCTATGGCAGTTACTCATCTCCGCCTCCAAGGGAGACTACCCCGTGTTTCTTATTCTCGTGTTTCCAAACATCCCCCCACTTCTGGGGGTCCCATCTTCTGCAGCCTCCTCTGTTGTTACCCCTCCCATAGCCACTACGGCATCTAATCCTTTGCTGTCCTTGGCTCTGACGTCCCGACTACAACTCAGTCTGTTCTCACATCTTCACATCCTTCCTCACAAGCCCCAGTATCGACAAGACCTCGTACGACACCTAATACCAATCGCCCCTCTACTCAGAAGTCCAAAAAATCCACATTGCTCAAATCTTCTTTGCCCCTTCCTTCCCTTCTTCCACCTCCACACTTTACCTTTCCAGTCTCTGTACCTAGTTCTTCCCCTCTCTCTGGCTCTATTACAAGTGTGGAGATTCACCCTCCTCCTCGTACTATGCCTTCCACCCCCGTCCCCTCCCAAGTTTCTCCCTCTTCTGTCCCCCCCACACTTCATCTCCAGTCCCTTACACTCTTCCCTCCCCCTCTACTTTGGTACAGTCCATTACTGTCCCAATCTTTACTCACCCTCCTCCTTCTATCTCCAATATGGTCTCCCATACATCTTTGAATTCAGAAACACTTGAAGCCATTTCAGAATATATTGCAGAGACTAAACCTTCAATGAACACTGATTCACTTCCTGTTCCTTCTCTTCCCTCTCCTCCATCTTCACAACCCCATTCTTCGCAACGCTCCGTTCCTTCGCTACTTGAACGTCTTCCAATGCCACCACACGTTGACTTTTCTAACCCCTCTAGTCCGTAGGTGCCTTTACCTACAGATTCCTGATATTTTCTTCATTGCCAATCATGGCCTATTTACAGTGGAATATCCGCGGCCTCGGGTAATCGGGGTGAGCTTCAGATGTTGCTTTCCAGGTTTTCCCCTGTTGGTGCTTGCTTACAAGAACCAAAATTACACTTGGCTGTTTTCCAACCTATCTCAGGCTATAATTTATTGTATTCTTCGGATCCTTTCTCAGATGGGACCTTTAATGAAAGTGCCCTTCTTCTACGCAATGATATTCCGTACTGTCAACTATTTGTCCATACCTCGCTGCATTACACTGCAGCCCGTATCCACTTGAATAAGTGGTTTACAATATGTTCTTTATATCTCTCTCCTTCTCGAGCATTTTCTATCCCAGACTTTGCCTTTCTTGTTTCATCCTTACCACCACCACTTCTGTTACTTGGTGATTTTAATGCCCACCATTTCCTCTGGGGGGGTCTCATTGTGACTCATGTGGCATCCAGTTGGAGGCTTTTCTCGCCTCTCACCCCCTCCATGTTTTAAATACGGGTACTCCCACCCATTTTGATCCTCGTACTCATACTCTCTCTTGCATCGATCTATCAGTCTGCTCTTCCTCCACTGCATTAGACTTCACCTGGTCTGTTCTACCAGACTTACATGACAGCGATCATTTTCCGATCATTCTTACTTCTCCTTCCTATTCACCACCTTTCCGTAGCCCTCGCTGGGAATTTGATCGGACAAATTGGGATCTTTACTCACACCTCACTGCTTTTAGTGAGGTTCCTTCTTCATCCTCCATTGATGAGCTCCTACACATCTTCTCGACGTCAGTTTATACCGCAGCTTCTCATTCTATACCCCAAACCTCAGGCAGGCATTCTCAGAAGTGCGTGCCTTGGTGGTCTCCTGCTTGTGCTCGTGCAGTACGTTTGAAACGTGCTGCATGGGGCAGGTACCGATACAATAGAACCGCTGAGAGACTTCTTGATTTTAAGCAGAAGCGTGCGATCGCTCGCCGTGTCATCCATGAAGCTAAACGCACTTGTTGGCGAGACTATGTTTCCACCATCACCTCTGCTTCTTCTATGAGTGCAGTCTGGAAAAAAGTGAGGAAATTGAGTAGTAAATACTCTCCTGACCCGGCTCCTGTTCTACCGGTCGCTGGTGTTGATGTAGCAAACCCTCTCGACGTTGCCATTGAACTTGGCACACATCTGGTCCGTATTTCCCGAGGGCTCCATCTATGCCCCTCGTTTCTTTCCTCAAAGTCTGCCAGAGAGTTAGTACCCTTGGACTTTTCTTCTCTCAAGAGAAGAACAGTATAATGTGCCTTTTACACTTCAAGAACTGGAGGCAACGCTCTCAGCTTGCCGATCATTGGCAGCTGGGCCTGACGATTCATATTCGTATGTTACAACATTTACATCGGTCAGCCCTTGTAGTCCTCTTACACCTCTTCAATCTTATTTGGGCACAAGGAGTTCTTCCCCAGCTGTGGAAATCTGCCATTGTTCTCCCTTTCCGCAAACCGGGTACTACAGGACATGATGCCTCCCACTATCGCCCCATCGCTCTTACTAGTGCAGTTTGCAAAGTGATGGAACGTCTCGTAAATCGACGTTTAATGTGGTATTTAGAGACACACGACAGTCTCTCCGCTAGTCAATATGGCTTTCTTAAGGGTCGTTCTACCATAGACCCCTTACTACGCTTGGATACGTATGTTCGTAATGCCTTTGCGAATAATCACTCAGTTATTGCCATATTTTTTGACCTTGAGAAGGCATATGACACAACTTGGAGGTATAATATTTTGGCCCAGGCCCATTCCTTAGGCCTCCGAGGCAATCTACCATCCTTCCTTAAGAACTTTTTAACTGACAGACATTTCCGTGTTCGAGTCAATAATATTCTTTCCCCAGACTTCGTCCAAGCTGAAGGTGTCCCTCAGGGATGTGTTCTAAGCACAACACTGTTTCTCCTTGCTATAAATGATTTGGCCTCTGTTCTTCCACCCAATATTTGGTCATCACTCTATGTTGATGACTTCGCTATTGCTTGTGCAGGCGCTGACTGTCATCTTATTGCAGTTTTCTCTCCAGCATGCGGTCGACCGTGTTTCCACTTGGGCCACCACGCATGGGTTTAAATTTTCAAGTACCAAAACTCACCAAATTACTTTCACTAGACGTTCTGTTATCTCCGATCATCCTTTGTATCTCTATGGCTCCCGTATCCCCAAACGTGATACAGTCAGGTTTCTAGGCCTTCTCTTTGACCGTCGTTATCCTGGAAACCTCACATTACCTCTCTGAAGGCAACTTGTCACAGCCGGCTAAACCTTCTTAAAACCCTTGCTCATCTTTCCTGGGGAGCTGATCGTCGAACTCTGCTTCGCCTACATTCAGCCCTCGTTTTATCGAAACTCGATTATGGTGACCAGATTTATTCCGCGGCCTCCCTGCTACTCTCTCTAGCCTTAACTCTATCCATCACCAAGGATTACGTTTTGTGCCTTGGTGCTTTTCGCTCTTCCCCTTTTGAGAGCCTCTATACAGAAGCGAATGTTCCATCCTTGTCTGATCGCCGTGATGCCCATTGCCTTCGCTACCATGTACGCTCTCACGATCTACACAATCCTTCCATTTTTAGAATGGTCACCGTATTATAACTTTGTTTATTCGTTTGCCCCCCTTTTTGCTCCCCCCCCCGGGCCTACTTTCACTTTTGTCTTCCCTTCATTCCCAACCTTTTTGTTTCATGTACATCTCACTTTTCCCCCCCCCCGGGAAGTTCCAGCTGTTGGGGTCTGTTTTTCTCACCCCCTTTTGCCAAAAAGCTCAATGCCAGGGTGGCTTCCGCTCCTTTTTCTTGATCACTTCCACTCCCATTCTCATTCTAAATGCCAACCGCTGGTACACAGTGGCTCAATCTTAAAACGGCTGGGTTCCACAGTGTTTCCCGGGACACGCGTGCGGGGACATTTACTATCTCACTAGCTTTTTTAACTGCTGAACTGTATGCCATTCTTACAGCCTTATTTTATCGCTCTATGCCTATTCATCATTTTATAGTCCAACCCCCTTATGCTCTACGCTAACGAAAATTTATACATCTCACCCTATTCCCGTACCAATTTGGGCTACCCGTTTCCTACCAAAAAGTATTTTTTTTGTTGGTCCCGGCATTTCACGTACGGGCAATGAACGGGCAGACACTGCTGTGCGGCCAGTACAGCCCCCCAAATTTTCCTTCGGGGTGTTCCTTTTCTGGACTATTTTGCTGCAATAGCTACCCACCTTCGCCCCTTGGCAACAACTTTGGGTCAACTCGCTCGTAACAAAATTCATTCTATAAACCGAGCATAGGTTTTCTGGCCCTCCTTTTCACAGTGCCGAGGGTTTGGGGGAACCCCCCTCTCCTGCCTTCACTTGGGCACACTCGTCTTTCTCATGGGTATCTCATGGAGAGGCCCCTGTTCCTCTCTGGGACAGTGTCAAGTTCCAGTATCGATTTGCCACATTTTGTTAGACTGCCCTCCTATCCAGCCCCAAATTTACCTCCCAAAGCGCTTCGTTCACTACTCCTTTTCCTTCCCCTTCTTGCTGATGGGCCCCCTTAATCCCGACCTCTCATTTACTTCTTGACAACGACTGATTTTTCTCCACAAACCTGATGATACTTTCGCACTCCCCCAGCCCTTTCTAGTTAGTCTCTTTTTCTGCCCTTTACCCTTTCACCACCACACCCCCCCGTTTTCCGTAACCTTTACTCATCCCTCTCCCTTTTTCCACCCGATGCCTGCTCCTTCCGCCCTGCAGCGCTGTATAGTCCTTTTGGGGTTTGCCTTTTTTTTGATTTTAATAAAATACCTTGGGCAGCCATAATTAATGCTTAATAATTACTGACATGCCCTTTTAAAAGTATCACTAAGTATTTTTTCAGATTAAGGAAAAATTAAAAAAGTGTTTAAAATTAAATTTTGTATACATACATAATTTTGTAGTTGAATTTATAGTATTTCAGGATGATTTTTAATTTATTTACAGTCAATAGGGTTTAGTGCTTAATTTGGGTTTTTTATTTGCGATCATTCTTTGAAAGTAATACAGTAAACTTCAGGAGCATAAACAATCTTAATTAAAAGACTGGAAATACAGAATGAAATCCACTAGGTCAACCATTTGGAACAAGGTGAGTCCATTGATTTCAACCTCTCCCAAAGTAATCTCTTGTTTTTTCACCACAATTGCCATTACCACCACCCACTCCCAAAGTTATCCATTAAATTTGGGTTTTAAAAAAAATTTTTTCGAACACACGGGATGTAAGGAAACAAAACATTATTCAAATTTTTTAAAAACCATCATGACTGTCTTAACAAATGAAAAAAAAAAGTTAATTTAATCAGTATATTAAAAATGCATTCAAATAATTTTTTTTATCACAATTGTATGAAATATTTTAATGGGTACTGTGTATAGCTTAGTCATTTTTTCAAACTGACTAAATCTGCAAAGTATACCTATAAATTGTACTAGACTGAACTTTTATTCCAAAAGTTTAAACTCCTAAATTCTTTATTATTCAATTCATAGGAAAGCGCTAAACCCATAAGGGTCGTACAGCGCATTGGAAATAGGAGGCAATCAGGTTTGATCCGAGGAAGGTAAATCCTTGGATCAAAAATCTTTCATTAAAAACATGAAGAATGTCTTTCTACATCATACATCTATATAATGATATTCTGTACAGCATTGATATTTGTGTAAAAAATGCAAGGATCAAGAGTGTAGGATACTGGTATTAGCATCATGAAACACATCTGAGTAAATTTCATATATATGCAATAGAAAAGATACAGGCAGTTTGAGAGATGGAATGGAATTTGACAGTTTTAGAGCGTCATGCTAGAGACCCAGGAATCTACACTTTGAACTTTAAAGCATTCCTACTCTTGATTTACAAGAACCTAGCAAACAAGGGAAGAGATAGAGCCAAGACAGGGGCCAGGGAGAAAGTAAGTGATGGAGAACCATTGCACCTGTCAGCGTCGCACTGACATACATCGACAAAATAATCTTCTGAACGCTTCTGATAGCAGTCGTAGATCTCTCGCCTCTTGAAACCACAGTCTCGCATCACACGAACTTCACCATCAGGTACTGTTAAAACAAATGTTGGTAGAGTATGCCTGTTACTCAACATTTCATGCAAATATCAAACTTCATCAAGTACGTATGTATTTTATCTATATGACAAATTCACAGCATAGAACAATATAGGTTATACTTCTCATTAGTTATTCCAGTAAACTAAAAATTTTAATACAATAAAAGTGCAATACCTACATTTCTCAGACATGGATTCAGTGCTGAATGTGCTGTCCCTCTAAATAGCAAGTGAGTACAAGTGTGCAAGATGCAGAGTGAAGCAAGAACTAGCAAAAGTAAGAATTATAGTAGGCTGTGAAATATGCTATCGAGGGGTTCATTATAATTGTTAGAACAGTGTAATAGGTTCCACAAGTTGGAAATTAAAACTGATTGACCTTACCAGATCCCTCAAGGACAGTTTCTTGATACAAGTGAGGGGTGTTTGATTAAAGTGGATCATCCTTCCTTTGGATCAAACTCAATTGCCTCCCTTTCCCCATTCACTGCAAGACCCCAAAGGGTTTAGTGCTTCCTCTGATTACATTCATGGGAGGGGAGGGGTGATCATTAAACCTATAAAGGTCTTTCACTGCCAAAGGGAATGGGAGGCATTCACTGATTCAGCCTCAAGGAGCAGCCCCAATTATAATTTAACAGACTTCTAATTTGTGGTTCGTTGTCGAAGGGCTCTAATACTTGTACCTGTCCAAGGTGAGATTGGTAGCACGTGGGATTCAAAGTGGTCCATCTGTGACATCCCATGGTACTCCCACTTTGAAAATGTTTTACTTGCCTGAAATAATGCCTTGCCTGTTTATACAGAGCCAATAAAGAGTGGAAGATAACTTGTAAGAGTATCATACCATAAAAAAAAAAGTCTGTTGGTTTACAAGTTTTAAGAGCATAAGTATTGCCCATAGATCAATGATACTTTCCAGTGCTAGACTTATATGATTACTGCCTAAAAAAAAAACAGCCTGGCTTGAAGTTATTAGCATTACTTTTGGCTCTTGGAGCTGAACTATACTAATGCTTACAAGGCAACGTAGATATTTTTAAGTTGACATAACTAAATTCTTGTTTACACAAATATGGTTAACAGACCTCACAGTGGATGACCTGATCACAAATAGATCATTTGTTTTGTGCTCTCCATATGTTCTATCCTCTTCCTACAGAGGTTTCTCATCCCTAAATTATGGCAATGCTTGTTAAGCAAGGCTGAAGGACTTTCCAATCACTCAGGTGCTGTAAGACCAATGATTTAATAATCCTAACCACCTTTTATATATGCTGGTAGTTTAGTTTACTCCTTTTGTTTTAGGGATTCAAGTATTCTTGAATGATAGTGAGCCAGTTATATGCAGCCTAAATGTGACCCTCATATTGTTTTAATAGGTTTTGAATCCAGTTTCTGTATACTTTTGAACATTGGCACAATTTTTGCCATATTCATAGTAATATATTAAATTCTTTTCAGAGTTAAGAACTTAATTCTTATGCATACTATTAAAACTTCGGGGAGCTGTTGCCTTGTTTTTGCAATTATCTAAGTTTTTTTTTTTTTTTTAGCTGGTTGCATCAAATTTTAATTTTCGGCTACAGATACAAGAATAGTTTGTAAAGCACATCAGGTATATTTAAACCTGCCATGCAGAATAACCTAAAACTGAGCTACAATACTATATTTTTTCCTGTCGAGCACACTTAAAAAATATTAAGCCTATTTTAGATGAAATTTTTTTTTGTGATGTTAGTCAAAGCATAGTATAAGAATTCTAGCATTTAAAAATCTAGTTTGAAAACTAACATGCCATACAAAATTAACTCCAGCCCTGCTGGATAATCATAAAATTTATAGTTGCCCTGTTACCAAGTCTACTGTGGAATGCCCGAAGATCTCTTCATTGCCCTACTAGTTTCCCCATCTCATTTTGGGACTTTTTGGAGAGTCCATCCTGTGTGACTGGCATGTTAGGTAAGCACAGTTCATGCTCTAGTATTGTAAAATATTTTTCATAACAGGGCTGCCATACTTATGTAATTGTACTAATAGCAATTAAAATAAAAAATGCCATCATTGTGATTGAAGGGGCCTCACTGTGCAGGATGTAAGATGTATTAACTATCACTAGTGTATGTAGAGAATGGATTGTTCAAATTCTGTGCTTGATGTGAAAGACTTCAGAAATAAAATTAGGTTAAACTGTAGGTTTGATAAGCAACAGTGTTATCAACATCACTGCAGAGGACTAGACGATACCCATGAGTTTAGTTTCCCCCTGAAGATAATGTGCAAATTCATTATATAAAAATTGGGATACATTCCCCACACAAATTTTAAAACTTGTGTTAAGTAAGTGGGTTAGAAAGTACTGTGTATAACTGGTAGAAACTTACTGGATATGAAGCAGAACAAATAATTTAATTATTCTGTATACAAAATGCTTTAACTGGAGGGTTTTACTGGGGAGAAGGAAATGGGCATATTTGAAGAAAAAAATTAAGGTAAAAGAGTAAACAGTGATCAACTCTGGAAAGGAAGAAAGGGTTGTGTTTATATTAAAAATTAAAGTGGATCAGTTAGTGGCATTTGAAACGTGGGTTACAGTATTTAATGCACCTGGGGAGGGGATAGAAATAGAGAAATTCTGGGAGATGTTAATCAAATGTTTAGGAAGTTTAGAACGAGAGAATAATTGTGGGCAAAACTGTTGTAGAGGGGTACAGTAAGTTTGAATGCCAGGAATAAGCAATAATGGGGCCTCTATATATCATATGCTTGGTAATATATAATACATACTTGTACATTTATTCTTATTTTCTTTAAACAAGATATGCAGTGTACACTGATGACAGTTTGCATTGGCGGGTAAAAGGGATGAGGGGTAGACTTGGATGTGCCTGTTTTTAGAGGCAACTATCAGATTATTATTTAGGGGTAGCAAGAGAGTCCTAGAGAAGGTATAAAGAAAAGAAAGTGATGTGTAACAAAATGTTTGGCAGTGAAAAATTAGTCATCAGATTGGAGGAAGTAAGGAGGTGAGAAGGTATGCACTGTAGATGGTGGGGAGTGGATGTTTCAACAATTAGGACCATGAAAGTTGAGGTGAACCATAGGTAGGTGGAGAGTCGAGGCATCCATGGAGAGATGAAAAAGTTTGTAGAGGCAAAAACATTAAATGTTGCAGCTAAAGGCAGTGGAGATTTGTTGAGCAATGAGTGTTATGCAAAGAATTCAGAGCTCAGAAATTAGAAGACTGGGGGGGGGGTCTATGAAAGGTGTTAAATTGAAGTTGTTTGGGTATTTAGAGAAATTAGAGCACAATAGTATAAGTGTGTATAAAATCTGGGCTTGAGCATCAGCACGAGTCTTAAATCAGGGTGATTGGAGAAGTGTGTTTTTAAGGATTTGACACTGGGAGTGTGTGCAATACAAGATTCAGAGAAGTCACAGTTTGGGAGACTTGAGTTCTGGAGGTGGGAAGTAGAGTGTCTGCATTCTAGAAGGGTGATGCACTGTGATGTCAACAAACTTCTGACAAGACAGCTATTGAGTGATGGTAAATGTTTTCTTTGCCCTCCCCCAAATGTTAAAAAAAAACTTATTGCTACTTGAAAATTAAAGAGTAACTAAAACATGAAGGATGCCTATAATCCTACACAATGTAAAATGGCACTTTATTTATTAAGAGTATTATGTTAATCACTAGACAGTATACACATGCATTACTGTACAAGACCCATAATTTAAAAAATATACATTGGTGCTATTTAGGCATTTTAACAGTAGGCACATGCAGTTTTTTCCAAAACCATAATAATAGTTTTGGGGCTATGTTTTAAATTAAAAAAAAAAAATATTGACATATCTTTGTCACATGCAAAATGTACACAGTATTGCCTGAAAACGTTTCAACTATTAACGCACGCTTATATAAGCTATATATTTTAAATGCATGGCTTATTAGCAATAGCTTCTGAAACTCTCGCTGGCATTTTGAAGAAATGCATGGTGTGAGGAGTATTTTGCTAAGTATGTTGTACAAGCACTATGTATCTTGCTAAATGCATAGCATATAAATTTAGTCTATCTCCAGTTGCTTGGTGTAGGAGCAATTTCTAAATGCAAGATGTGATTATCTTTTAAGAAAAAAAAAAAAAGCTTGGTATATAAGCAACAACTTGTTCAATGCTTGTATTATGAGCAGTATATCACTAAATGTGTAGTGTGCAAGTATATTTTGCTAAATGCATGTTCAAGCATATTTTGTTAACTATTGTATACAAGCATATTTTGCAAGACCAAGCATGTGTTGACAATGCTCAATGCTTGTATAAGCAAGGTTTTGTTATAAGCATAGTATGCCAGAAATAGCTTAGCCAAAATTGAAAAATGGGATCTAAATCCATGCATTAATAAATGCTGTACTTATCTCCATGGTGACTTCAACAAACCTTGTGTAACTGAAAAAGAAATTGTCACACTTTCACTACAAGATAATTCATGGGCTAGAAAAGGACATATTAGTACAGAACTTTTTTCACAAGAGGAGAACCACTAGAAAAACAAAACACAAAGGCAGTCCTTTCATGAATTAACCCTTAAACTGTCCAAACACATCTAGAGCTCCAAACATAGATCTACCTTTTTTTTACGCGCTTTCAAATGTAAAAAAAAAAAAAACCTAGATCTATGTTTGGAGCTCTAGCAGTGAAAACGTAGATCTACGCTTCGACAGTTTAAGGGTTAAATGATCAGATCAGATAGCAAAGCATGTCCCAGACTGTCACACTTGTGTTGAGACAGTAACTGGAAGAGTGCATGAACACAGTTTTTTTCCTCAAGATGCACCTCGAAAAGTCAAGGTTATCTTCATCAGATTATATCCTTAAAGGGGTGGGAGGGACCTTCATCCTGGTGAATGGCTTTTCCTCCTTTAAGAAAAGGAAGCAGCCCTCACACTTCTTGGATCAATCTTAGTTGCCTCCCATTTTCAAGGTTTAGCATTTTCCCCATAGGCTATACAAAAATTTAATTTCAATCATGAAAGAACTGACTTTTACACATCTGTTTTGTAATTTATCTTCACATTTGTGAATTGCATGCAGCTTTTGTAATTTACATACCTTGGAGAAATCCAAGTTATGCAAATGAATAAATGAAAGCATGAAATACGTGACTGATACTGAGGATAGAGGTAGAAAAATACTTTTGATTGTAAATTCTATAGTTATGAAAAAATACTTAAATTCTTAAGACGTTTAATAACACTAGCCTTTGCCCTCCCATGGCAGTGATGCACAATAGCAAAAGTATTTAATTTTAATCCTAAAACTGATTTCTCCTAAATTCCTTTGATGCCAGCAAATGGCTCTTGTTCCAGGATAAAGAACTTACTCTCCATTTCCCTGGATCAAATCATATTGCCTTCAATCCCCAAGGAGTTATATGACCACCTCCCATCCCCAAGGAGTTAATGACCCCCCTATGGGTTTGGCACTTTCCCCTAATTAAAACAACCGAGTTCATTGTCTATAAAACATTCAAAATCTACTGTATATGAATCATATAGAAAACTTTCCCTCCTAGTGTATTAACATAATACAATACTGACAAGTAGGTGAAGACATGCAACAGCTGGGTATGCTTAGTGAAACATTTTGCCTGTTTCAGCAAGTTTCTTCACTTAAATACAGGAGTGAATTAAATATTAGACAGTAGAAACATTGGACAGGGAAATATGAAGTAATCAGGCTTTTAACCTTAAAGTGTTCAGCTCTATAGCCTTGACCAACGAGAAGCCGAGACATGGAAATAGAACCTTTTCTACTGGAGCTAAAAGCGAGCTGCAGAAGTTGGAGCCTCTCAGGAAGTGGGGGCTACCTGGAATGTGTCCCAAGTGTCAATGCCCCTGCAGACTAGGCCTTCCAATGGATAACCCAATCAACCAGGATACTGGTGCTAGCCATACAAAGTCCAACATAAGCACATCTCTACTGATAAGGCAGTGATTTAAACTTGTCCAGTTCCCTCTTGATTGCCAGAGGTCTGCTGGTAATTCCCCTTATGTATGAAGGGAGTACATATTGAAGTCTTGTTCCCTTCACACTTGAATTTTCCATTTGTGTACTCTCACTGCACCCTTGCTTTTCATTGGGGGCATTTTGCACCATCTGCCAAGCTTCTTTCTTTCATGAGGAATGACTTGTGCGAGCAGATTCGAGACCAATCCTAGGATTTTCCAGGTGTGGATTATAATGTACCTCTCTTGTCTACATTCCAAGGTATGCTGATTGAGGGACTCCAAATGCTTTTGGCACTTAACTGAATTGATGTGAGCAATGAAAGTTCTCTGTAATTTCACCTGCCTTAATAGTAGAGCAGTACTTAAGCCTAGAGAGAACAAGTGACTCGAGTATTGGCTTAACATCCCACTACTAGTAGAAGAGCATAAGAATTAGAGTACCACAGCAGGCCTACTATTACACATGTTCCTACTCCTCTACTTGTTTATATTATATACAATATACTACTACTATGACATACCAACACCACAGTACCTTGATACAGAGGACATCTACAACTTTGTTGCTCAACCACTAGTTATGAGTGAGTCGTATTCGAAAGGAACCTGTTTAGCATAGGCCTGCTGCAGTAATCAGTTCGTGTGTACTTCCACTAACAGGTGATGCCATCTCCAATTTCCGGCTCTAGTACAAAAAGGATCCATTCTCGTTCCTCAGCTCCACATTGCTTGCAGCTAGAGAGGTAAACCACTTAAGGCAGAGGGACTGATCATGTTGATCTCTCTGCCACTTAAATTATCTCCACTATTTAGGTCATCTTTATATTTGACTGAAGCCTGTTGAGCAGGCAAAGCATTTTGACATCAAAGATGCACAACTGTTGCACATGAACCTTACTCACCTTCCCAGTGCATCATGCTAACACTAATATTAGTGAAACTATCTTTTCCATGTAGAAGCTGAAAGTAATAGCAAACTTGCTAATCTAGTAAAGTGTAATGAAGTACCACAATAAAGAAAATAAGTACTGCTGGTAAAAAAATAAGGACCAGACAACAGAAAAGAGCAAGGTATAAAACTCTTTTATACTGTATTCAAAGGGTGATAGTATCTATTAGTATTAACCCCACTCTTAAATACCACCAACAGAAGAATATTTTTATTAAAAGTTATACATTCATATATTTTTTTATGTCAATATAGATTTTATATTTGTTATTATAGAATTAAAAATTATAGGTTTTATAAGATTCAGGCCAACAAATTAAAAAACACAAATATTACTTTGGACTGAAAAAAATTAAAAAGTACTGTACTACAATAAACCCTCAAGTGTTCATTAAATCAGAATGTTAAATAGCAGAAAAAGCATTACTCTATTTTATACCTAATACCATACCCAATTTACAGATTAACTGTAATAAACATTCAAATTAAACTGTTAAAAGTAAAATTTACCCAGTGGGTTGCATCTTATTTCAAAAGTCCATTATATCAAAATTCTTTATATTGAGCATTTACTGTATTTTAAAAATTCTGACAATACTTTTATAAGTTCAGTTTAAATGGGCCTCCAAATGAACCTAGAATATTTATCCACCTATTAAAAAAAAAAGAACATACAGTACATTACATATGATATACACAACTGAAAGGCATTTTTAAGTATAATTTTTATTGTGTTTTACTCACAGTGCATCTTAGCCTTACGACAAAAGGCCTGAGTTTCATTGTCGGGTAGTTCACATTCCTGAAGGAAGGCTTCTATTAAGGCAGGAGAATCATCCTGGAATTCATCAGCACAGGCAGAGTCTATCTTAGAATTGCACACGAAGCACTGAATGCCATAAGCTGTGTGTATAAAATAAGAGCAATTAGTATACCGACTCCTGAAATAACTATTACTAATATTAAAAGTTTTCAGTTGGATTTCTTTTAATGCCCTTTTTAATTACCTATTTGTAGTTCATAGTGTAATCTTTTCATTAATTATTTTTGTTTGTTTTTAATGTAATATCTGTAGAACTTACTATACTTCCCTTCTAAATTTATTCCATACATCTACCAGTATAGTGGTTAGTGTGCTAGCCAAGGACAGAGGAACAGTGATTCAATCCCACATGTTTCTGCCCTCTATATATTTACACAAATTCAGTCTAAGCTTTTTAATAAGCAGTTTTAATACAGTACCAATTCTAGATCATACTGCTTTGATGCTCTTCCAATTTCTCCTGTGCTAGTTATAGCCAGTTACTGTATACACATATAATCAACTCTTGTAAAATTTATATACAGTAGAACCCCCATATCTGCGGGTCCGGTTGCAGCAGTTTCGGTTATCCACGGTTTACCGTGGCCCAAAAATAACCCTTAATTTTTCTTAATAATGACACCAAAACACAAAAGTAGTGAAGGTGGCAGTTCTTCAAAGCCTAAGAGAAGCTGTAAAGTGCTTCCCATCGGTGAAAAGTGCTAATTCCAGACATTGTGTAATTTGTGAATTAAACCTGATCACAGGTATGTGCATAAATGAAAAATGACTTGTATACAGGGTTCGCTACTATCCAAGGTTTCGGTCACCCAAAATAGGTCTTAGAATGTATCCCCCACAGATATAAGGGGAACTACTGTAGTGATTTTTTTTTATAAATGCAAGTGAAAAGGAGCATCCAAAAATGACTAGCACATACTATGAAGACCTTCCCAGGTGCTATTCAATTTTGGATGTACAGTGGACCCTCGACCAATGATGGCATCGTCTAACGTTAAATCCGACTAGCAATAAAATTTAACGCTAACATTTTGCCTCTGCTAACGCTAAAAAACTCAACTAACAATATTCGTTCTTGGGTACCAATTAATATCGTTAGTCGAGGGTCCACTGTATGTACTTTTCTCGATCGCATTTGTAAAACCACACTATATATAGAAGCTTCATAATATGCAATGCACAAAAACTACCTTAAGTGTTAATTTCCATTTTAGTTACTATGTTCCACAGTCTATCATACTAATACATGTGTGACCAAGCAGGTTGAGTTTTGTGAATTTAATAATACCGTACTGTCATTATATAGGTACAGTGGAACCTCTACTTGCGAGTTTAATCCGTTCCATGACCTTGCTCGCAACTGGATTTGCTCATTTTCAAAGTCAATTTTCCTCATTTAAATTAATTGAAATGCAATTAATCTGTTCCAGTGGAATTCTGTACTTCAATAATTTCGCTAATATCAATTCTACGGCTTATCTATCTCACTTCATTTAATATGACATAATAAACAATATAAATAACACAGAAACCTGATATATACTCTAAAGTGAATAAAATATGTCATTCATATAGTGGTATGGGCAGTGTCAGCGGTGGACGAGTTTGTCTGGAGACCGGACAAAATACTTCTTGAATAATTTCGCTAATATCATCTATATGGCTTATTTATCAATCACAGTTCATCTAATATGACATAACAATGTAAATAACATAGAAACCTGATATATACTCTAGAATGAATAAAATATGTCATTACATATGTGGCGGCGTGCGACAGACAAATACTCCTTGAATATTTCGCTATCATCAACTCTGGCTTATTTATCACAGTTCATCGAATATGAAACAAGAAACAATATAAATAGCCTAGAAACCTGATATATACTCTAGAATGAATAAAATATGTCATTATGTAACAGGTGGAGGCAGCCACAACCACTCCCACTTTATTGTGGCAAACACTGCCATCTAGTGATGGCCTTTTGAAGCCATCTATTGTTATAATTATTATGTAGTGTATTATTATTATATATATATATTATTATACATATTATTATTGTATTAATTATTATATGTATTATTATTATACATACATTGAGTTCAATTTCAAGATACTTTTCGTCATGAAAGCAATCAAAATTATATCTATTTCTGTAATATATCTTTCATTATATCAAATGAGACCAAAAAAAACGAGAATACAACCATAAAAACCATACGAAAATACCGCTAAGGGGTGGCTAATTGCTGAGAAGTGAACTCCATTATTTATGCTTAGATTTCTTTCATTTTTTTGTACATTAAGAAGCATCTTTCCATCATACATTGCCCAAGTTTCAATAAGATAGTCCAACAAACAAATGAGATACAATTCTCAAGATCAAGAGCAAGAGCCCCTCACCAGCATCAAGGAACCTGCCTTGAGGTCTGCTCGCTTAAGGAAATTTTGCTCTCGTATGGAAGCAAAAAATTTACCCATCGACTGCTCGTATTTGGAAAAATTCGCATGTGGATGCGCTTGCAAGTAGAGGTTCCACTGTATACCACTATCAAGCAAAGTAACATGGAAATGCAGTTTGCATGTGGAACTGAATGCATACTTCCATTTTTACTTTGTAACTGTAGTGTAAACAGCTGGATCAAGTGATCATTATAGACATGTTTTCGTGTGTGTGTATACACTCTTGCATTGTTATCAGTGCATCCAAAACCATATTGTAATGGTCCAGTAGGCAAGAGGCATGAGCGACCTGCTCAAAACCCATGCTACCCTGGTTTGTGCAATTTTTGCGAATCCATGTGGTTAGCAATCCTACTTTATAAAATTCTCAGATTTTTATAATGTGGGATGTCAGTGCTATTGGTCTATAGTTCTTTACTACTGTTTTACTGCCACCATTGTGGAGTGTGGCTATATCCATTATTTTTAACGACTCGGGGGATTATCTGTATCCAGGCTCCCTCGCCACAGAATATTTCAGGCACATATGGGTTTCTTGTAGCTCCTGATAAGCATGGTGTTCATCCCAGAGTCTGGGCCTGGGGCCAAGTGCATGGGCATCCTCTCAATGTTTTTTCAGTGGAATTAGGGCTATATTGTAAATTTCCGAGATGTTGACATCTCTCTAATTTCTCTGCTCTATCTGGTTTCAACAACTGGTCAATACTAGATGTGTTTTTTTTCCCTCCTGGATTTTGCACATGAGAAATATTTATTTTGGATTTTTTCACCTTCATTAATTACATTTAGCTCCCCAAGTCCCTCCCAGACTATAATTCATTCAATGCAATTTCAGTATCCTCTAATTCTCTACCCAGTGCTTCCTGCCACACCTCAGAGCTACATCATCTTGAGACATTGTAGCTTTTCATCTTCACCTGTAAAGGGAGCATCTCTTTCTAGTTTGCATCTGCTATTTTTCCTCGGTGGTATGTGCCTTAAGCCACACAGTTATTCTTATTTAGACACTGGTTGGGGTCCAATTTACTTAAAATATCTTCCCAACATGTGTCATTATGGACAATTTGATTCCTCCCCCAACAAGCAGCACCTACACTACACTACCCCCAACAAGCAGCACCTACACTACCCCCCAACAAGCAGCACTTATTCTACACTCTACCCCCCCAACAAGCAGCACCTACACTACACACTACCCCCCCAACAAGCAGCACCTACACTACACACTGCCCCCCAACAAGCAGCACCTACACTACACTATCCCCCAACAAGCAGCACCTACACTACACACTACCCCCAACAAGCAGCACCTACACTACACTACCCCCAAACAAGCAGCACCTACACTACTCTACCCCCAAACAAGCAGCACCTACACTACTCTACCCCCCCCAACAAGCAGCACCTACACTACACACTACCCGAACAAGCAGCACCTACACTACACTCTACCCCCCAACAAGCAGCACCTACACTACACTCTACCCCCCCCAACAAGCAGCACCTACACTACACTCTACCCCCCCAACAAGCAGTACCTACACTACACTCTACCCCCCCCAACAAGCAGCACCTACACTACACTCTACCCCCCCAACAAGCAGCACGTACACTACACTCTACCCCCACAACAAGCAGCACCTACACTACACTCTACCCCCACAACAAGCAGCACCTACACTACACTCTACCCCCACAACAAGCAGCACCTACACTACACTCTACCCCCACAACAAGCAGCACCTACATTACTCTACCCCCAACAAGCAGCACCTACACTACACTCTAGCCCCCCAACAAGCAGCACCTACACTACACTCTACCCCCCAACAAGCAGCACCTACACTACACTCTACCGCCCCCAACAAGCAGCACCTACACTACACACTACCCTCCAACAAGCAGCACCTACACTATACTCTACCCCCCCAACAAGCAGCACCTACACTACACTCTACCCCCCCCAACAAGCAGCACCTACACTACACTCTACCCCCCCCAACAAGCAGCACCTACACTACACTCTACCCCCCAACAAGTAACACTTATACTACATTCTACCCCCAACAAGCAGCACCTACACTACACACTGCTCCCCCCCAACAAGCAGCACCTACACTACACTCTACCCCCAACAAGCAGCACCTACACTACATTCTACCCCCAACAAGCAGCACCTACACTACACACTGCTCCCCCCAACAAGCAGCACCTACACTACACTCTACCCCCCCCAACAAGCAGCACCTACACTTCACTACCCCGCCAACAAGCAGCACCTACACTACTCTACCCCCCCCCAACAAGCAGCACCTACACTACACTCTACCCTCCCAACAAGTAACACTTATACTACATTCTACCCCCAACAAGCAGCACCTACACTACACACTGCTCCCCCAACAAGCAGCACCTACACTACCCCCAACAAGCAGCACCTACACTACACACTGCTCCCCCCCCAACAAGCAGCACCTACGCTACACTCTACCCCCCAACAAGCAGCACCTACACTACACTCTACCCCCCAACAAGCAGCACCTACACTACACTCTGCCCCCCAACAAGCAGCACCTGCACTACACACTGCCCCCTACAAGCAGCACCTACACTACA